CGATACCTATGATTTAAGGTTACTTTTAAGGGTTCGGAAGAATTTTCCGAGTATTTGAATCTTTTTCGTACTATATTTTAAATTCACTCCACGTTTTTGTATAGTCCGCATATTACAGTGCCTCTTCATATTCGGTATTTCACTGATTGAAGTCCCAATGAATTTTGCATTTGGGTTCTCATTGGATGGATTATTTCCATATATAATCAAAATCGAAAATTTAGGTATGGCAACTATATAACGCCATGTATATAAAATATGCAAACTTTCTCGATTTTTTTTAAATAAGAATTTTAAATTCCAAAAGGCATTCTGAAACAATTGTACACAAAATTCCATATCATAATAGAACAGTCCATTTTTTCAGTTCCGCGATTTTTCTCAAAATTTTCTTTAATGACAACGTTTTCACTGTAATTACAAATAACCAAAATAAATGTTGAGTCAAATGGGCCCAGTCGTTCCCAACTGATGTGTTACTACATTTTTTTTAAATTGTATATAAATTTAAAGAAGTAGATCTGACCAGTTCCTCTGACCCCAAACAGATACCTTGGGTTAGAGTGAGAGTCAAGATTACGTCGTATACTAACTGTGGAACAGATATCTTCATGATTTTGGCAAATATTAGGATTTTAGATACATCGAAAAAATGGGCGCAAAATTGGGCGTGGTCACTTTTTCTTTGCATAAAAACCTAAATCGGGGTAGGACGAACATTTAAAAAAAAATATCCAAATACATTCAGCCGATCTCAACTGATTCAAATATCAACGAACAACAATTGGTTTATATATAGATTAAAAAGTAGGCGTGGTCAGTTTCTCAGCCCCTAAATAAATACTTACGATTGGAGGGAAAGTCTACCAACGAACAACAATTGGTTTTTACATGTATATATCTTCTATATATATAAAAATCAATTGGTGTTCGTTGATAATGGAATCAGTTGGGAACGGCTGGACCGATTTGCAAAATTTTTTGTTAAAACGTCCGTCATACCCCGAGTTAGGTTTTTAAAGAAAAAAATATTGCCCACGCCTACTTTTACGCCCACTATTTTGATTTTTGTAAAATCTTTATATTTGCCAGATAATGAAGATATCGGTTTGAAAATGATTACACGAGATACTATTGACTTTCCCTCCAACCCTAGAGATTTATTTGGGGGCTGAGGAACTGACCACACATACTTCTAATCTATATATCTTATCTATATATATAAAAATCAATTGTTGTTCGTTGGTAATGGAATCAGTTGAGAACGGCTGGACCGATTTGCACTATATTTTTTACATACGTTCGCCATATCCCGAGTTTGGTTGAGAACGACTGGACCGATTTGCATTATATTTTTTACCAGTTCCTTTTTCTTTGCATAAAAACCTAAATCGAGGTTGGACGAACATTTTAAAAAAATATCCAAATACTTTCAGCCGGTCTCACCTGATTCAATTACCAACGAATAACAATTGGTTTATATATAGATTAAAAACTAGGCGTGGTCAGTTCCTCAGCCCACAAATAAATACTTAGGATTGGAAGCAAAGTCAACAGTATGTCGCGCAATAATTTTAAAACCGATATCTTCATTATTTGGCAAATATAAAGATTTTAAATAAATCGAAATAGTAGGCGTTAAAGTAGGCGTGTTCAATAATTTTTTCTTTAAGAACCATATATATTATATATAGATTAGAAGTATGGATGGTCAGTTCCTCAGCCCCCAAATAAATCCCACCCAAACAAATAAATATCAATTATTTATTTGGTTTTCAATTTTAATGCTTGCATATTAAGTTTATCATTCTGTTTGTAACACCACGAAATATACATTTCAGACCCCACAAATTGTGCATATACTTGATCAGCATAAAATTCTATAACGATTTAGCGATCTATATTCACCTGTCCGTCTGTGGAAATCTCTCTAGTTTCCGAACGAAATGAACTAGGTTCATAGAATTTTACTCAAATGCATATTATGTCTGCAAGACCATGTAGGTTTACGTTTTGGTATAGCATACCATATAATGGTACCTCCCTATTTTCGGTGATTTAAGTGACATTATTAATCGGAAATGCTACAAATTTGGTATTTGAAGTTCGTAATGGATACTACAGCCTATGACATTTGACCCATTTTGATGATTTTAGCTACATTATTCACCGAATTCTTTTTTTTTTAAGTTTCGCATTTCATAATATATAAAAAATTTAACGTCTACATTCGGTGTTTTACAGATTTAACAACATTTTTATACCCTCCACCTTGGAAAGAAGGGTATATTAACTTTGTCATTCCGTTTGTAACATCCTTAAATATTCGTCTTAGACCCCATAAAGTTTATATTCATAATCAGCATAAAATTCTAAGTCGATTTAACGATGTCTGTCTGTCTGTCCCTCTGTCTGTTGAAATCACGATACAGCCCACATTATTTGACGTAGAGCGCCAAAATTTAGCAGAGCTATTTGCATTGTGTCTAGGATGGTTGGTATTGAAAATGATATATGATATGATATATCGGTCCACGTTCTGGTATAGTCCCCATGTAACAGTACCTCCCTATATTCGGTATTTTGATTATTTATGCCACATTTTTTCACTGATTTGTCTAAAAATTGGTATTTGTGGGTCATAATGTGTCCTAGTTCGTATGGCGAAACATTGTAATTATATGTCCACGTTTTGGTATAGCCCCCATATAACGATACCTCCCGATATTCGGTAATTTGATTATTTTTTGCCACATTTTTTCACGGATTTGTTTGAAAATTGGTATTTGTTGGTCATAATGGGTTCCAGCTTCGGTGGCGAAACATTGCATGCATGGGTCAAAGATTTGATATAGCCCCCATATAACGTTTTGGTGTAGCCCCATATAACGGTACCTCCCCATAGTCGGCATTTTAATGGTTTTGCCACATTTCTTCTAATGTTTACTTTACCCTAAGGTGGAGGGTATTAAAAGTTTGGCCCGGCCGAACTTAATGTTTTTTTAATTGTTAAAATATATTTTTGTTTTGAAAATTGCCAAATGTGTTCCAAATGGTGGAGGGTATTCAAAGTTCGGACAAAGTTGCTGATTAATATTTTTTTGTTTCTTTACTGCTTTATAAATACTAACATCTCTAAAATGTCCTGCTCATATGATATTTGTACCAATCTCACAGACTCCGATAATACAATTGGTTGTGCGCCAAACGGTCACATTATATTTGATGCAAATATAGCAGATGCACTCAATTTAGAATATAACGGACTAATTTTGTTTTGTATAAAATATCGTCATATAAGTGTTGAATTTTATAATTTCGCAAGACATATTTCTTCCGAAATAAGTGAAATAGGTAGAGATATCTGGCATTTTCTCGTTTTATTCAATTTTTGAAAAATTTCCTGTATTGGATGAGTTATTGTCTTCTCCACTTGTGTCGTCGGCTAAACCAGTGACTTCATATGTTGCAGCCAGCGTACCTCCGCTGGTTTCTACTAATTGCGGAAACTGGTGGAGCGAATACGTATGCTGCTGTGTGCAAAAACACAACCCAACCCAAGGTTTTGCCGCAGGTCTTACAAATCCTTTCTGTCCCAATCCTACGAGCGAAGCGAGTTCATAGACTACCTCTCTTAGACGAAAAGAAACCAGACCAACTTACGCAAGGGCACCTTTACCGGCAACTACTAGCACAGACATCGTAATCTGGCAATAAACCATTATCGATGGCTCCCGCTATGAAAATGGTTTTTGTCTCAAGGCTTGCACCAGCCACTTTGATTGAAGACATTTGTTATATGAAATCTAATATCAAAGGTGAATATTTTTTAAGAAGTCAAAAACTTTGTTCGTCTTTCTCAGAAAGTAGATCGTCTTTTAAAACTGTTTCTTCTGAAATTGTTGATAAATTTATATCGAAAGACTTCTGGCCTGCTAGGGCATTTGTTAAAGAATTTATCGACAGAACAGATAATTTAGCTCATCTTCCTCAAAGGACAAAAAACCAAATAAATTCTTACTATTATGTTAATTTGTTTACAGAAAAGATCGTACTTTTAGAAAAGATGGTAGTATTCTTATACCGATCAAATGTGACAATTGTGCTAATAAAGTTGAAATTTTGATGCCATAGAATTTGTTGGAATCTATATTGAATTGGGCAAATCCAAAAAAATTGTTACTTGTTCAGATATATATGAACGTAATTTATCAGCAATTCTTTCTTTATCTAGAAAAATTAATGACAATGACCGTATTTTAGTTCTTGGTGACTTCAATATGCCTTCGGTTTCTTATCTTAAACTTCCGGACCCCGAAGCCTTAATTCCTTTAACATCTAACGCGAAAACTAACCAACACACATTTGAAGTTGTTAGTTCTTTTTCCGATCTCAATCTTTATCAATTAAGCAATATAACTAATGCTCTAAATAAAATACTAGATCTTGTATATGTTAACACTGCGCAATATTTCGATTTATTTAGAATCCCACCAGTATCGATTCCCGAAGATAATCATCACCCTACTTTCTGCCTATCTATGTCTTATTGCAGTTCATTGAATATTACAAATTCGTATGATTCTAAACCCCATAAAAATTTTCTAAACTATAAAAAAAAGAATTTTGGTAAATTAAATTCACTACTGTCTTCCGTAGATTGGGTTTCCCTATGAACTTCCAAAAATTGTACTGAATATGAACTTAGCATCGAGAAATCTTATGAAACGTTAAATAGATATATGATAAAAAGTCTCTAAATTCAGAAAAGTAGTTCAAATAAATCACCATGGATAACATGTGAGTTGATGAGATTGAAGAACTTAAAGAATAAACTTTTTCGTAAATTTAAAAAATCGGTATCTGACTTTGCCTACGCTAATTACTCTATTTAAATGTCTAAGTACACTCTAGAGTCTCGTAGATTGTATAAGGACTAACTTGATAAAATTAAATAAAAATTTTAGATCTAATTTTTATGAATTTTATGAAATTGTAAATTTAAACAGAAAGACTTCAAACAAACATAATGTTTTAAAATTCAAAAACAAAGATTATGTTAATGACAGCGAGATCTCTCAGTGTTTCGCTAGTTTCTTTTTGTCAGTTTTTTCAAATAAAGGTTCTCAGTCAATTGATCACTATACATATGACTTGCGTCAACTTGATCAAGTAAATATTCCATATGTTATTGATGCATATATATATGTTGGCTTGCGCAGTTTATAAACAATTAAGAGTGCAGGCCCTGATGGTGTTCCTAGCATTATACTAAAATTTTGTTACCACCTTAACTACCCCATTAACTCTATTGTTTAATTATTCTTTAAAATTTGGTTACATTCCCTCCCTCTGGAAGAAATCTTACTTAATTCCATTACATAAATCAGTTAGTGTATCTACACATCCAATTGTAGGGGTATTGCAAAATTAGCCTATTGAGCCTATTTTCTGTCCTTATCGATATGGTTTTTGGGCGAGGTTGTCGACTATCACAAATCTTACCAAATTTACCCCCATAGTTGTAAAGGAATTTATTAACGGTATGCAAACTGATGCAATCTATACAGATTTTAGTAAAGCATTTGATTGTGTCAATCACCAACTTTTATTTAATAAACTAAATCATATAGGCTTTAGTAATAGTGGATAGCATCGTATTTAATAGATGGGACACGATTAGTTTTATTTGAGGGTTGCCAATCTAGCTCTTTTAAAAGGACGGAAGTCATCTTGGACCGGTCCTTTCTTCCTTATTTGTAAACGACTTCAATAAAATGTTTTCATGGTGCTATTTAAATGTCATGGACTTAAATTTTTAAAAAAATGTAAATAATCATATGTGCTTTTAACGATCTAATCATGGTACAATAAGGAGGTAGAACAGCTTCGTAAAACAACAGAAATACAGCCCTAAGGCTATGCCCGCTTCCTATCAAATTTGTATACAACACGTTGTTTTCATTTATTAAATATTTTTCCTCCTTTTTAAAATCAGTTAATCAGTTCTTCCAAAAATAATATCTAAACAGTTCTATCTTTCAATTCCATGGCAAAACTGGCGAATTGCTTTAATGCGCGTCTAGCAATTTACGCGACTTCCAAACATTGATTTTGAAAATATTCTGTTTTTATTTTTCAAAACAATAAATTAATACACAAAATTGGCAGAAGTCGGGCACTCTTAGAAAAAAATTGTTATCAGCTGGTAGCTCTACCTTACCTTTTTATTGTACCATGGATCTAATCCTTTACCAACTGTATATAATATTAACGGGAAAGTTTTAACAACCGTGGGATCCTTTGTTGATCTTGGCCTCCTAATGGATCCTAAGTTATCTTTCAATAATCATATTATATCAATGATTAAGAAAGCTAATGGTGTTTTAGGATTCATAAAACGGTGGGCTAAAGAATTCTCTGATCCGTATGTTACCAAACAACTATTTGTATCACTTGTTCGGCCTATACTAGAATATGCTTCAGTTGTATGGCATCCTAATTATACCATCTACTATACTACTAAAATTGAATCGGTGCAAAAACAATTTCTGCTTTTTGCGCTGAGAGATTTTCATTGGAATAGTGGTTTTACATTATTGCCCTATACTAGCACCACCTAAATTAACAATACCATAAGGGCGTATAAAATCTTAAATGGTAACATGCATTCGGACTTTCTTATTTCTTCTTTCAGAATTAATATCCCATTTAGATTAAACAGGTGTTATCAGTTTCTAAATATTGATTTTCACCGAACTAATTACTCTGTGGGTGAACCTAAAAGTAGAATGTGTCCAGACTTAAATTCTTGGTATGATATCATAGATTTTGGTGCTAGTATTAACATAATAAAATCTTGAATAATTATTTTTCCACAGGCTAGTGAAATATTTTCTGTAGCTGGTATTTCAATGCCCACCATGGTGTGGATCATGGCGAGTACGCGATTCCTACGTAATGGGGAGGTCGCCCCCACGGTCGGTTGGGGTGGGAAAGAGTGGCGTTGGGAACTTTCATATAAAAAAAAATACTTAGCTTGAAATAGATTTTTACCTTTTTCAATAAATTTTTACTATTTTTTATTATATTTATTATATTGAATTTAACTAAGTAAGAGTTAATAGAAAATGAAATTCCTATCTTATGTTTTCAAAACGTTTCCTTAATTCAAGCTCATTTACTACTTAAATAAATTATCTCATCACTTTGTTACTATAAATTAAAATAGGAAATAAGAAAAATAAACTACTATTAATGTTTTTCCTACAAAAACGTAAGGAGCTGCAACTGGTCGAGTACCAATTCATATTAATAAAATTACTGCTATTGTCCAAAATATAATTGCATTAATTGGATTCCTCGGAATTTTCTTAAGTGATAGAAAGGTAAAATAGCTTAAATTGCAATTGATAATACTAATGTAATAACTTGATAATACTAATGTAATAATTGATCCAAGAATAGCATACGCGCAAAAAATATTATTAAGAAGTAAGATTGCGATTTTCCAAGGAGCGCATATCAAAAGATTTTTCATTTTGGAAGAATGTGCTGTTCAAAAAATCCGCCATCATACCATGTCTTGCGAAGAACATTTGAAGAAAGCTTTGATTGAAGAATAGCAAAAAAATTGAACACATCTAAACTTGTTAAAAGTTTGCCATATAGGCTACATATTGTATAAAAGTAAAGGAATAAATAAAAAATATTAATGTCTAGAAATACTTTAAATTATACGAAGTGTACGAGTTTAGCTTCGGCATTTTAATATTTATTTTTTCTTTACTTTTAATGAATTAAGATGTTAAGTTTTGTTGCTTTTAAAACTATTTACATTGTGTATTAGTAAAATGTAAAAAAAAAACATTTTTTGTAAATTTTAAATTTTTTGAAGTTATAAAAAATATTTTATTATTTATTAACTATGATTGGCTGGCTGGTATTGTTGAGATGTAATGGTGCAGGTTTGTACGTTTATTTGTTAGTGTTGTTTGACATGTGTTTCTGGCGATAAATAGTGAACATTTTCTTCACTTAACTGCCTGGTAGGTGTTACTACTACTACGGTCTTGATGGTGTTGTATCCAGTCGATGTCGTCTGCATAGCCAAAAGTTTTACCGCTTTGTGCCGCTGACTTCGATAAGAAGAGTGTCCGGTCAATTTTGTTTCCAGCTCCGTCATACACTCAAATCGGTATAAACCGCCACTGCTTGCTGCTTCCAAAAGTTGACACTCCTCTGGCGAACTCAGGATTTTCTTCCATATATCCAACTAGTGCCCGCAGCTGTGCAGTTGACGATTCTTTGGTGCTGTAATTGAGGAATTAATATAATGTTGTTGACATATTATAATTATATTTTTACTTACCTTTTTGTTTCTATTTTCAATCAAGTAATATTTATGTTGAAAATAATTTCATGAATTGTAATAATACAAGTGACTGATTTTGACATTTGTGTTCGCATGCATGCGAAAAGAAAAAGTTAGTGGAACGTAAAATTGCACTGAAATGCTTACGTTTTCGTTCGCTTTGATTTTCGTCAAATTTTTCATTCTGAAAATTTTAGTGGAACGGAAATCAGCCGTTTGTCGTGTAAAAGGCATGCGAACGTGTTCTTTCGATATCGTGGAACAGACAGTAAATCACAAAACGTCAAATCGAGTTTGACACTAGTATTACTATAGACTCAAATCAGCTGGGACTTGCTGTTAACTGTAATAATTATACCATGATGTTAACCCTTCGATTTGTACGCAAATTTAACAAAAGAGAAGAATGTTCTAATAAAGTTTACTTTACTTTGCTACTGTTTGTCTGTTCCAGAACTGCAAGAATGTAAAAATGTTTACTACGATAACCGATTGGCAAAGGATGGGTCTAAAACAGATCCATCCACATCATTTATATTTTTTAAAATAAAATTACCATTGTCAATTCATTAAAAATTGGAAGTAGCAAAAATTTCTTTTATTGTTTTTCCACGCTGTAAACAAAAAAATCACCATATGCTGCTTTAGACTTTGCACATTATATTGTATAAAGTTACTAGTTTTTATTGTGAATTTTCAGATTCTGTATTACATATTTTGAGTGTATTATTGGTGTTAATAGATACGTTGTTTACTCCTGAGTGGGGCTGTGACTGCTGAAATTTGTTTAATATATCGGCATTATTAGTGTGGTAAGTACTTTTGACATTTGCAAACTGTGTTAAGGTGCAAGTACATAATAAGCTTGAAGTCATGGCTAGGCATATTTAGTGACATTTCATAAAGGGATTACAGATCCGAACTAAAATCCTGTCGTCGTTTTCCATTATAATTTGACATTAATATGCCTAGCCATGACTTCAAGCTTTTTATGTACTTGCACCCTTAATGTTTTTTCTATTTCAGATACTTTTGAAAAAGTTTCTAGATGGGAAACGGGTTGAGGCGGTGTTATTTGGATCGGACTGGCTGTGACGTGATGAATTAGATTTCTAGGTGACGTAACTTTGTTGTATTTTAATTTTGTGACTCTTTTATTTATTTCCTCATAAGCGATTCTTTTTGGTGTTTTATTTTTATTAAGAGGGGGAAAGGCAGTTTTAAATTCATCTTCTGAGAGTATTTGGAGTCGGTTTTGGGATTCAGGGTATTTTTAAACAACTTCTTTTCTTGACAGGTTGCAAGCGCCATTATACTTCTTGTGTTTCTTTCTGGTTTCCATCTTGGGCACTGTTTTGAATCGGTTGCAAAGTGATCAATACTATTGCAAAGAATGCATCGTGGAGAGTTGTACACATCTTTTGTAGTTGGGAGACATTCTTGTTCATCTGGGCATTGATTAGGGCATATGATAAATTTACCACAGTTTAAATAAATATAATAAATAAATATTTCGGTCGTATATTATACCAATTTTAATGGTTTCGGAATATTCAATTTTGTTATTTTCAGTTTTTCCCGTGAAGCTATATACTGATACAACATCCATATCATTGTTTGTTTGTTGCTTAATTGTATTGGCATTAATTCTCGGTGGTACGTTTTTCATTATATATAAACGTTGTATAAATCTTTCTGGGATAAACGTTTTGAGATTAATTAAATTAAAATTTGGATTATTTGCAAAAGAGTTTGTCGATCTAGCATTGTTGAATGTTAATCTAAAAAGATTGTGGCCAATATTCTTGCAGGAATCTTGCATAGTTCACATATTTTCCTCCTTGCACTAATTTGCGTTTCTGAGGAGAATAATTCATGGAAAGGACCAGGATGATATCATGGTACAATGAAGAGAATGTAGGCCAACTTTGAAAAAATTGCAAGTATAGAGGTCTACCTGTTTGGCTTGTAATGTCAGAAATAGTATCAAAACAATAACAAAATCAAACAACTTGTTGCATTTATTTTGAATAAATAATTGAAAACCGCGAAAACTGAATGAAAGGTCAACACTTCTTTTCAAAATCACAACTCTAGATTGTGTCGATGCATACGATGAAATAAACATTTTGAAAACATCCGAATTTGAATTTTTTCTGAAAAATTTTTTTGTTATTGAGAAGAAAACACATACATAAACAAATAAAGATGACATATTAAGGCAAGAAAATAAAAAAAATTGAAATCATATGGTATCATAGCCCTACCTTGATATCATTGTACCATGGGTGATATGTTGGATGGTTTCATGGTAGAAGAATACAGGTAGATGCATCAACGCTCGAGAACATTGATATGTCAAAAAATGTGAAATGTTTCTTCAAAACTAAGTAGATTTTAATACAGATTTTAGTACTCTGGAAAATGTATATGGGGAAGTCCTTAAAATCAAATTTATCACAAATTTCCACGTGTTGTGTAATAAGGAAAGACAACGAGGACAACCACTGCTGAATTGAAACTGAAATTTAGTAATTTAACATTACAAAAACCATAAATCGCTGAGATATCTGAGATTGTAAATAGAAGCCGATCTGCAGTACATCATGAAACGGTTCAAAACAGGTGGATGTGTAGAAAATTGATCAAAACGGCAAATAATAAAATATTTCCCTTGAGTGATGTATATTTACGGCAGATCAAAAAGAATCCATTCTTAAGTGCATCGAAGCTCGCAAAAATTGCTGAAAAGGATTTGGGAAAAGTGTGTTGCCCTGAAACAATAAGAAATATACTGCATAAGTCGAATTACAATTTAAGAAGATAGACATAAACCTTTAATCAGCAAGCGAAATCAAGAAGTTAGGGTGCAAAGACATAAGAAGCTTGAAGTCAGGGCTAGGAATATTTTGTGACATTTCATAAATGGATTACAGAGCCGAACTAAAATCCTGTCATCGTTCTTCTTTATAATTTGACACCAATATGCCTTGTCATGACTTCAAGCTTTTTATGTACTTGCACTTTAAGTTTGTAATTTACCAATTTATTTTTTACTTTAAATGGATTATAATGTTAAGTTTCATTGTTTTTTAAATTGCTACATAATGTGCTAGTAAAATGTAAAAAAAAAAAACTTTTTTTGTAAATTTTAAATTTTTGGAAGCTATAAGAAAAATAATTCTTTTTCTTTAGCTGTACGAATTTCGCTTGGAGTTTGTTATTATATGTATTTTTTACTAATTTAATCATTTAAAAATTGGTTTGACAATTCATTGTCCCGGCAGCTGTGTCGATGCGTCTACCTGTATTCTTCTACCAAGGACTCTAGCATATCTTTACGACCTCATTGTATATTGGATCAAGGCGACTATAGTTCTAAGTTAAACATATTAACCACTCGATTTGTATTTACATTTACCCAAAAAAGAATAATACTCTTATGCTAGGAACACAATTGGAGCGAACGACGAATTTTTTCGCGGCGTATGTTCGTCGTCAAAAATAAAAACCATATGTGTATATGGAAGTGCACACAATCACGGCGACGGCGAAAATTTCGTCGGTCGCCGCGAACTCAATTAGCTTTATTTCTATTTCATACGCCGGCGAACGGCGACAAAACAGTACAAGGTGGCCATACTTGTACGAATTTTATGTGTTTTAGTAAATAAAGTTACTTTTTACTTAAAAATTTGTTATGGTCACTCTACTATCTGTTATTCGTATAAAAAAAACATAAATAATTTGTTTATTTATTTGTGCACTTGCGCCTGAGTGAAGATGGATATCAGTGAATTTATAATAGAGAAGATGGACATAACTGAAATTATAAAGAATTATGAGTTCTTGTATAATTTTCATTGTAGTCAACAAATGAGCAAAAAGTAAACAACTTCATCAGCTGTTTTATAATTTCGTCGGTATTGTGTTCCATACGACGAATTTTCGCGGCTCATTTTGTCGCCGCGTAGGGCGAAATTCGTCGTTCGCTCCAATTGTGTTCCTAGCATTATAATGTTTATGCCATGGTAGAAGAATATAGGTAGACGCATCGACACAGCTGCTGGGGCAATGAACTGTCAAACCAATTTTGGATTGAAAATGTTGAATGAAAAATTATTTAAATTTGTAAAAATTATAATAACCTCCGAATGACATCGTATAAGAAAACATATAAAAATCTACTTATATTTAAAAAAAAAAACATTTAAATTTTTTGACATATCAATCCTCCCAAGCGTTGATGCGTCTACCTGTATTCTTCTGCCATGGTTTATGATAAGTTCACATGATTTGATCTCCATTCCTTGTTCGACCATTAATTAAGAAATATCCACTTAATTCCCCAAACAAAATTAATGTGGCGTTTCCACTGCACTTGATTCGCTCTCTATTCGTTGTTTGACCCTTAACTATGAAAAAACTACCTAATTCTTCACACAAAATTTCCTGAGCGAACACTCATATTTGTACGTTGTTCAAATCAAATCACTCTCAGAACAACGAAAAAATATGCCCCATCCCTCACAAATGAGAGCATTTATCGAAAAAATAAATTATGACATTTAAAAATTAATAATAGAAAAATTTAATGAAATTTTAAAAATTTTTGGGAAGACTGAAAATTATAAATGAAAACTACAATGTTGAATGGCGTATGTATATTCAAACGAAAGTAAATTTTGTTTTCTCTCTCATTCGAGGTACGCATTTCGTCCACGAGTTAAAATTTCTACAGAAAACTGCAAACAAAATAGTCAATATTTTCAAAATGTGTCTATCGGCAGAAAAAATGTTTGACAAGTGTCTCTTTAGCAGAATTTAAAAATGGAAAAACACAAAAATATGTTCAACATGTCAACATTTACACAAAAAGTTGAAAACGTGAATGAAAATTGTAAAATTAATGATATAATAAATCTTTGGGAGAAAAACAATAATTTCTTATATTCATACTAGTTAGAATTTCATGTACTTTCGTATACACTCCCTTTAAAATCAACAAACAATTTTTTTGAAAAAAGGAATTATTTTACTATGAATTACGAATCGTGCCGTATGAACGGGTTAATTCGAGTACCTAATGCTAGGAACACAATTGGAGCGAACGACGAATTTTTTCGCGGCGTATGTTCGTCGTCAAAAATAAAACACATATGTGTATATGGAAGTGCACACAATCACGGCACCGGCGAAAATTTCGTCGGTCGCCACGAACTCAATTAGCTTTATTTCTATTTCATACGCCGGCGACCGGCGAACAAAACAGTACAAGGTGGCCATACTTGTACGAATTGTATGTGTTTTAGTAAATAAAGTTACTTTTTACTTTAAAATTTGTTATGGTCACTCTACTATCTGTTACTCGTATAAAAAAAACATAATTAATTTGTTTATTTATTTGTGCACTTGCGCCTGAGTGAAGATGGATATCAGTGAATTTATAATAGAGAAGATGGACACAAGTGAAATTATAATAGAGAACGTAAAGAATTATGTGTTCTTGTATAATTCATTGTAGTCAACAAATGAGCAAAAAGTAAACAACTTCATCAGCTGTTTTATAATTTCGTCGGTATTGTGTTCCATACGACGAATTTTCGCGGCTCATTTTGTCGCCGCGTAGGGCGAAATTCGTCGTTCGCTCCAATTGTGTTCCTAGCATAATTCTGAGAGCGAACAACGTTGTTCGGTTTCCAATGGAAACATGCTATTACTGAGCGAACAATAATTGTTGTTCTTTGTTCCATTCAAATCACTCTCAGAACTAAGATGAAATGTGTGCCATCCCTAACATATAAGAGCCTTTATCGAAAAAATTAAATATGACATTTAGAAATTCAAAAAAGAAAAATTTAATGACATTTTCAAACATTTTGGGAAGACTGAACATTATGAATGAAATCTACAACGCTGGATGGCGTATGTACATTAAAACGAAACTAAATTATGTTTTCTCTCTTATCCGAGGTACGCATTTTGTCCACGAGTTGAAATTTCCACAAAAAGCTGGAAACAAAAGAGGCAGTATTTTAAAAATGTTTATATCGGCAGAAAAAATGTTTGACAAGTGTCTCTCCAGTAGAAATTAAAAATAAAAAAAAATACAAAAATATGTTAAAAATGTCAACATTTACACAAAAAGTTGAAAACATGAATGAAAATTGTAAAATTACATTGTAAACGCGGGGTAAGCAAAAATAACAGTTTGTACTCGGCATAATGGGAACCTGGCATAATACAATATTTTTGATATCAAAAATTGACTTATCGATTTCCAGCTGATTCGTCCTCTTATTTATTTTTATATTGTGGTTCGTTACGTGCATGAATATTTTGCATATTTACTTCAGAGGGTTGTAGCTAATGCTTCCTTAAAAAAAAATAAATGAGTTTTTTGTTTGATTTAATAAAATCCTTTATAACAAAAATGTTGGAGATATTGTCATTCGGGAGAAAAACCATTACCAACACGTTGAATATATATGTCAAAACAAATACTGGAAAGACGTTGTCAGTGAATTTAGAGCCGCAGTGGGACATAAAAAATGTCAAAGAAATTGTTGCTCCACAGATGGGCTTACAGCCCGAAGAGGTTAAGATTATATTCGCAGGGAAAGAGCTAAGCGATGCTACAACTATTAAGGTAAAGCGGATAGGGACCGATAAAAATTCCGTTTCTGTTACTTACGATTATTTTTGACAGGAATGCGATCTGGGTCAACAAAGTATCTTGCATGCAATACGTACACGACCAGTAAGAGAAAGGAAACGATTGCAGTCCACTGTGGCTGAAGAAGATCCTGATGAGCAACCTTCCAAGCCTTTGTGCGAAACATTGGTCGATCTTCAATTGCAAAGTGAAGAAAGGAGTAATATCAGTGAGAAAGGTAAATTTGTTCCATAAAATGGTATAAGCCAATAATTTGAGCATTACATTTTGCAGATCGCGAGCGTACAAAAGCTCACTTCTTTGTTCATTGTTCTCAATGTGGTAAGTTGTGCAAGGGAAAACTACGTGTTCGCTGTTCTTTGTGCAAAGGAGGGGCATTTACGGTTCACCGTGATCCAGAATGTTGGGATGACGTTTTAAAAACGCGGCGAATTCGTGGGCATTGCGAGTCATTAGAAATTGCATGCGTTGATAACCAAGATGGCGATCCTCCATTTGCTGAATTTTACTTTAAATGTGCCGAACATATTTCTGGCGGGGAGAAGGATTTTGCTGCGCCATTGAATTTAGTTAAAAACAATATCAATGATGTTCCTTGTTTGGCATGCACGGATGTAAGGTAAGTGGATGCCGTGGCAATAGACAATAATTATCAGTCTAAAATACATCTTCAGGTTGTTACCTTCATGTCTTGAAACGAATGTGCAGTCGAACTTCTGTGTAACAAACTTTTCACAACGCATCTTCGGTTAACTTTTCTTTGGGGGAACCCAAGTTGAAACTCTCAGAAATAAATATATATATATATATATATATATATATATATATATATATATATATATATATATATATATATATATATATATATATATATATATATATATATATATATATATATATATATATATATATATATATATATATATATATATATATATATATATTTGACGTAGAGGTTCGCGTTTGGTGTAGGTCATGATGGGTTCTAGCTCCGGTGCCGAAATATTGTATGTATAGGCCCAAGTTTTTCTATATCCCACATATAACGGTACCTCCCGATGTTCGGTATTTTGATGATTTTTGCCACGTTTTTCCACGAATTTGTCTAAACATATGTATTTGTAGCTCATAATGGGTTCTAGCTCCGGTGGCGAAATATTGTATGTATAGGTCCACGTTTTTGTATAGCCCCCATATATCGGTACCCCCGATATTCGATTTTTTTATGATTTTTCCACAGATTTGTCTAAAAATTGGTATTTATAGCTCATAATGGATTCAAGCTCCGGTGGCGAAACCTTCTATGTATAGCCCCCATATAACGGTACCTCCCGATATTCGGTATTTAGATGATTTTTGCCACATTTTTCCACGAATTTGTCTAAACATTGGTATTTCTAGGTCATAATGGGTTCTAGCTCCGGTGGCGAAACATTATATGAATAGTTTTTGCATAGCCTCCATAAAACGGTACCTCCTGATATTCGGTATTTTGTCGATTTTTGCCAAATTTTTTCACAGATTTGTCTAAAAATTTATATTTTTAGTTCATAATGAGTTCTAGCTTCGGTGGCAGAACATTGAAAATTTGGAACCACGTTTTCCTTTGTCGCACATATAACGATACTTTCCGATATTCGGTATTTTGATAAGTCACATCTAGTCACATCACCCCGAAATTGTTTCATATTTGGTATTTAAGAAGATTTGGTAGATGACATTCCTTGTATAAGTATAAAATTGCCTATATAGGTTCCCGTTTTGGTATGGCCTCATATAACGGCCTCACCCACTATATGTTTACTGGTATTTGTAATTTAAAGTGGAACACGTTTGAATTCAGATACTTTTAAATAAAAACGTTTTCTTTACCCAGTAAAAGTTCGCATATAATTTGATGGTCTCTCTTCAATTATGCGGTGGAAAACTTTTTATAACTAGTAAATACTTTAATTTATTTCAATTTGAAAGAAAGTTTATTCGGGTGACATTGTGTCTATCAGTCTGCAAGAAAATTTCGCTTTGGTATTTGCATTTTTTACATGAGTGAAGAGAATACCAAATCCCCGGCCTAATGCCGTATTCCTGTGTTTTCATTAAAGAAAATCGCCGTTAATACACGTATTTATATGAAAGAAAAATGTAACAATTTCAACATTGTAAGTTCTAATACTTTTGTTTTGTGTATCGATAATAAAAACGTAAATAGAAAAATGTGAACGCGTTCAATTGCAAATCGCACATTTAGAATTCTTAATTTTAGGGTCCTTGCGTATTTATGTATTGTATTATGTACCTTTTTTGGGAATTTTAGTATTTTTGTACCGCGCGAATTAAACTTACTTTAGCACTCCTACCTAATACATAAAATAAGTCTTAGATTTTTTTCATCACAAAAATTGAAGACATGAATTCATAGGAATGTTAAAGGCGGATTACCGAAATATGCAAGATCCATATATTTAGGGCACCCAAACAAAACCACATCACAATTTGCAATCCCACGGCGGCCGGTTCTATGTACCGGATTGAGTCGGAGGATCAAATCTTCGACCAGGGGCCGCCAACCCAGCAAATACATGTTCATGTTCGTCCATTTTTCTAATGTGGGAGTAACATTACCCGGAATGTTTGCTCCTTATTCTCTTGGTCCGAGGCGGGATCGAGACCAATCACGGACCATGGTTCTGTTTCTTTCCAATTGCTTCCTGCTGCGCCAATGTAGACCCCAGAGAGTCTTCATTTCCGTCGTCGGAGTATGAGACTCCCCCGCAATCTCCACAACAGCAAGTCCTGCAGCAGTTGACGCCACACATTGCTGTTCAAGTTTCGGGCAATGCATCGTTTCTCCAATTCAACTCTGATGGTCTCCGAGGTAAGATCAACGAAATTGCAAACTTCATGAGTCGGAAGAACATCAAGGTCGCAGCGATCCAGGAAAGCTGAGTAGCACCTGCAGGCTTCATAGTTGTGATGGATACAACGTATTGAGAAAGGATCGCACCAGAGGTGGAGGATTAGCGTCCCTATTGCACCACTCTGTCCAGTACAGACCTATCTCGCCTGAGCTTGAATCTAGTGACCCGTACATGGAATGTATGGGGGTAGCGGCGAAGTGTGGAACCGCCGAGGTAGAGGTGCTTAACGTGTACATTCCGCCGTTAAATAGCTGGTAGGCAATAACCGCCTGGTACTAGGGGATTTAATGCCCATCATGAGCTATGACATTCCGTCCTAAGTAACGACCAAAGAGCCATGGCCCTGACTGAGCAAATCGATAGCTCCACGTTTTGCACAGTGAATGAGGACGCGCCCACCAGAATTAAGGGAGACTGCCACAGTTCGCCGGACATATCCATCGTGCCCCAGGTCAGACGAATGACGTAACGTGACAATCCGTCATTTCGCTAGGCTAAGACCACCTCCCTATTATTCTCGCCGTAAACAGACCTCATAGACTTTGAACGCCGCACTTTCCTTAACTATGGGAAAGCCAATTGGCAAGAATTCAGAGAATATACCAATCACCGCTTTAGAGAACTGCTCAACCCATCTGATGTTCAGGTAGCAGATAAGTGTTTCTGGGACATCATCAAAGCTGCAGCCCCTCCCTATATACGTGCCGGTCAAATACCAAAATAACACAAAATTTCCCAGCAGAGGCAGCGGGATTAGCAAATGAGCGAGATGAGCTTCGCCGTTCTAAACCTAATAACCCCAGAGTCAGGGAACTTACTTTGGAGATAAACAGGTTAGTCGATGAGCATAAGCGGGAAATGTGACTAGAACATCTGAAGCATTGCAGAACGGATAATCGAACATCTTTCTCATTTAACGGCGTAGAAGTGACAGACGTCGTTAGCCAAGGTGAGGTGATATCTCTAGAACTGTTTAGCCTCTACCTTTCTGACATTCCACGTCCTCCACACGGCATAGAGATAATAACGTACACAGATGATTGAATGACGCTTGTGGCATCCGGAGCCATCATATATGACATATGCGATCGGTTAAATGCTTACATAGTTGATATAACCGCCTTTTTCATTGCGAGGAATGTGAAGATATCCGCCACTAAATCGACGGCCACACTTTTCACCACATGAACTGCGGAAATGATGCTATCTTTGAATGTGCACGTCGATGAAGTTGTAATTCCGACCACCAACTACCCCATGGTCTTAGGGTCACACTCGATAGCCTCTTCAAGTCGTCCGCGCATACCACAACTATCTGGTGGTTCTCTAGTCTCTGGCCAGCAGCACTTGGGGAGCTGATAAAGAAACCTTGTTGAGCTCTTACAACGCGATAGACCAGTCTGTGGTAAACTATGCGGCTCCGGTGGGTCCGCCAACGTTAGTGCTACGCAGTGGAAAATATTCAGTCCTGCCAGAATGCCGCCCTTAGAACCGCAACAGAGTGCCTCCTCATGACATCTGTCGACCACCTACATGAGGAGGGGAAGGTCTTACCGGTGCGACAGCATAATAAAATGCTGTCAATGCAACACCTGCTTGGGTGCTACCGACAGGTTGTTCAGTAAAATAAAAAAAAGATTAGGAGACGGCACAAAGAATCTCAACTTAATAAAAATAACTATATGAAGGATGTCATAATTTTTCTCTTATATGTTAACGATTTGCCGACTTCAATTCACAGTTACTGATGTATGCAGTTGGTGTTAAAATATTTTTAACACATAAGTCCAATAAGCAGTCATATTTATTGCAATACGTTCTCAATAATTTGTTTTCGTGGTGCAATTTTAATTTTAAAAAAAATTAAACATACGTGCTTTTCACGATAAATTCTTTTATTAACTGTATATAATATTAACGGGAACTTTTTGACACCTGTGGAATCCTCAATTTATCTTTTAATAATCATATTTTATCAATGGTTAATAAAGCAAATGGGGTTTAAGGATTCATAAAAAGTAATTATTTGTATCACTTGTTCGGCCTATACTAGAATATTCTCTAGTTGTATGGGACCCTGTCATCTACTCTGGTAAAATTTAATCAGTACAAAAAAAAAATCAGCTTTTTTCGCTGACAGATTTTCATTAGAACAGTGAATTTCCATTACCGCCCTATATTAGCAGACTAAAATTAATTAGATTACCTACATTATAAAATAAACGTATTACGTTCAACGCCATAATGGAATTTAGAATATTATATGGTAATGTGCCTTCGGACTCGCTTTTTTCTTCTTTTAGAATTGATATCCATTTATACTTTTATATAAACAATGATTTTCACCGATCGTAGATTTTGGTACAAATATTGATATAATTAGATCTAGAATAATTATGTTTTTAAATAAGTAGCAATAGATTTTTCTACCGGCTGATAAAATATTTTCTGTAGCTTATATTTCAATGCCTACTATGTTTTCCACCATGGTATAGATCGTAATGAGTTGGTCGACCCCACGGACGGTTGGGGTGGGAAAGAGTGTCGTATGGAACGTTCGAAAAGGAATGACATTTGACATTTGCGGTAGCAGAAACTGCAAAAATGTATTAGTGTTGCAATTTTTTCAAGGAAAATTCGTGTTGTGTAGTCCCATACAATGGTACATTTTCTAACAGGATTGTTGAAAAATTGGTACTAA